CTTTGACAATGGGATCACCCGTGGGTTGATCAATGTGTAGAGTCAAATATCTTATTAAAGAATCATAATTAGTCTTTTTGTCTTTAAAAATGAATTTCCAGTAGGGTCTTTTTCTTAATGACTGAATTCTATTAAATTAATAAGTATCCAATCTTTGCTTTTCAATTGTTATTAATACAAAGTTGAATCATTTTAATTACAAATTAAATGAGAAAGAATCAAAGAATATTTACGTGTTAAAAGAGTAGTAACTAATAATTTTTTTCGTCAGGATTTTCAGGATAATGTCGTCCAGCAAAGCCCACATTCATCACTGAGTACTCAATAAGATGTCCACGGGCAAAGCTCCACTTGATTCAAGATTCTTGTCTTATACGGAGCCCTTCTATCATCGGGTGAGTCGCATGCTTTTTTATTCCTCTGGTCCCCAATCATGCCGTAGGACGATAGGTCCGAAGCGGCACGGGCGACTGGTTGTATACGTGCTAAATTTGGCGAGTACAGTGAACGCGGATATGCAATCATATCCGCGAGTAGTAACATTGATCTGTTGTGTTCCTTAGCTAGGCTAGGGTCTTCTTGTATGCCATGTTTACAATTAGTAATGCAATTCATAAATATTTTATATTAAAAGTATATTTATGAGTTCAACTTTAAAAGTTTGATATAGAGGTGAATGTGATGCGAACGAAGTCACATTGCTTACTTATAATTTCAATGTCGTCGTCTGGTATCATTTATGAATGTAGAATGAAATACGATTTACATAAGGAAATTTACAGAATATAGAAAATACAATAAATTCACAATAGTCTACAACTACAGTCAGCTGGTACAAAAATAGTATTGAATTCATTAATGTGTAAAAGAAATTTAGATAATAGATTTGAATATAGAGTAGAAAGAACGGAACCATACCGGTATGTTTAAAATAAAGGGGAAAACATAGTGGTGCCTTCTTAGATGAGCATGTTGTAGCAGTTAGCGCAATACCACGAGACGCGACAGCACGTTTCAAAAACCGGAACCAGTGTCGCAAGACACAAAGGTATCATTCGTATTTGCAAGTTCCATGAATAGTGGAACACGTGTACTGGGAATCGCAATAAAGTATCGGTGCATAAAAAGAAGACGTATTAAGTTATGTCACCTGTGCATCGATATGCACGCCCTAGTGAAAAACCGCGTGTTATGGAACAATTTAACACGTTGTGCATGTATGACCATTGAAAAGTGCATTGCGATTTCCAGTTATCGTGGCCGGTGTTTTCGTTGCCACTGGCAAAGAACGCATACGGTTACGTACACGGGTAGACTACCGAGACGTACTGGCGTGTACTCACGACCACTTTCATGGAGTGTGAGCGTTAAATGCAGGGAAGGTACTACTGTGTTTCACCAGCATGTATTGTGTCCTACAAACATATTTGTATGGTAGACGTATATACTCAGAAGGAATGAGTATTCTGTCTTTTATAAAGGGCAGAGCAGAGATGTCCATCTATTGCTTATGAGCAGCATTCTTTCCCTCCGGAGGTACCCTCATTATGGGTCTTAGTTTGACTTGTTCGAGTCAATCTCAGGTCGGTAGTGTGTTGTACTGTCACTTGTAGATAAATAAGAAAATGAATGGAAGTTGAATGTATTTACTAATGTAATTAGTAATGCTATTTTTTACTAGTTACTATTTTATAATTTAATTAATAAATGCAGGATTTAATATGATACCAGACTACTGCAAAGAAGTTTAAGATTAATACTTGTGAAGAAAATGTATTATCAGATTAACTATGCGTATTGAAATATATCAGAAATACGTACTCTCACGTTTCTCAAAGACAGTTATAAAAATTAAATAGTGCACTTTTATACACATAGATTGAGTTAGAACGTAATGTTCTGGACAAATGTGATATTACAGACCATGTACAAGAAGGCATTTCGCGACGGGTAGATTTCTGAGTCAAAGTGACATGATTTGTTACACTTATGTTATCTGTCTTACATTGACTTTGACGACGGAATCGCCCGAGGGTTGTTCAATGTATAGAATCAAATATCTTATTACATAATCATGATGTAGAGTTTTTATCGTTAAAAATGAATTTACGTTAGGATCTTCTTACTTGTTAATACAAATAAGAACTTAATAAGAACAGATTAGACCGTTAGAAGAGCAGAAATTAATAATTGTTTCAGTCAGGATTTTCAGGATAATTATTCCGTGTTCGTTGCTCAAACCCTTTCACGTGCCCAGGTGCTACTTGATTGGGCGAGAGCAGCGGGGAACGATGATTTGATTTCATATATAATAACAATAACATGTGTATGCGACTGGCAATGCGTTAACTTACCGTGCACGACGTATTTTCCACTTGTGTGTGTGGTTGTTAGGCAGTGGAATTGCGTCGGTTAGATTTCTACCAATTAACATTTCATGTGTAGTTGTTCCTTGGAACAATTTCTCACAATTCCGGTATCGGTCATACATATACCATTACTTTATATGATGCTTATAATAAAATTTTCATGCAATATGTACTGGTTTCGTGTCTCTCGCTATCAGACGAGAAAATTAATACATAATCGATATAAAGTATACCAAGTATACACATATTGTTTAAACAATTTTTTTATTCTCGCAATGGATGCTAGCCTTTGCCAGTCGATTTCAGGAAAATGGTACGTACCTATTAGAGTGTGCAAGTTGAATATCGCGCTCGGGTGTCGGAGGCGTCCCGGGACGTTCTCCCTAGGTGTTAGGCTAATTTGCACCCGGGCGTCTGCTTGAGTACCGTGGAGTGTTGTGTTTTGGTGAGAATCTGTCTTTTGCCAAATTCTTGTTAAATATGGGGCTAGGTAGGCAGGTAGCATACTTTCTTGTGTGTGAATGTGTATGATTAGACTGTAAGTAGGTAGGGGCCGGAGCAGGCTATCACATTTTCTGATTGGGTGGGCTCGCGTAGGTTTCGCGTGATAGTCCTGCTACCGGGATAATTTGTAGCGTCGATTCGAAACTGGCCCAGACGGAGCATGCTGTCTGCTTCCGATTTCGATTTCGATTCTTCAAATT